TATTCATCAACGACCTTCCTGATGACATTAGCTCTCAACTTGGTATCTATGTGAAAGACATAACTATTTACTTCTGTATTAATGGTAAGTCTGATCGTTTCGATAGGAACATAATTGGCAGCTAATCTAAAAAATGATTCACAAGCTGTTGTTAACTGGGGCAAGAAATGGCTTGGTTATTCTAACACCGCCTAAGCGAAACCGTTTTTGACTTCCCTCGGCATATATGAGATGAGTGATTAATTACTTCTTGGTCTAACTTATTCCGCCAATATGTGGAAAGATTATATTGAAGCATTTGCTAGATCTGCCCCAGGTAAGTTGGTTCACTGTGTTGTAGTAGAAAATATATCCTGCTAGAATTTATCTGACACATTTCTAAGTCAACCATTCGTCCTTACATTGAATATTCCTGGCCCGGTTCTTCAGCTATGTATTTATATTTATACAAAGAATCTGCAATGTTATTGGTCCTGACCTGGCATCTCGTCTTCAGTGATATTCCCAACTCTGTAGCGTAGTTTCCCTGTGCCATTTCTATAAATACTTTAATGGTAATTGTTCTGAAGAATTTTGGTAACTAGACTTTACAAATTTAAGTATGAACTTAGCGGCAATAGCTGTCATTTTACAATTGAAATGACGAGATGTAACCGTAAGTTCTATGTTAACAGTTTCTTCTATCACATTTTTCGTTTGTGCAAATCTCTTCCGGTTTCTTGCTTTCCAGTCAATTTGATCTTCGAAAATTTAAATACAATATCAATCGTTATTGTCTGCCTTAATTCTTGTTCCTTTATTGTTCTATCTCCTTCATAGGCCGCGTTAGGAAGTTTTTCTCCCCTGAGTCGATCCTCCAGATCTACAAATCCACAATTCGCCCCTGCATGGAGTATTGCTGCCATATATGGTCTGGTGCCCCTTCTGTTTGCCTCGGGGTTCTTGATAGGCTCCAGAGTCGGATATGCAATATGGTTGACCGTGCCCTGGCGTCTCGTCTACAGTCACTTTCTCACAGACGCGCCGTCGCCTCCCTCTGTCTGTTCTACAAATACTTTCATGGAAATTGTTCCGAGGAGCTGCATTCGCTGGTTCCCAGACGTCATGAGTTCAAGCGTCCTACGAGGCTGGCATCCCGCTCTCACCCCTTCACTGTCGAAACTCCTAAATGTAGCCGTCTCTTCTACTCCAATAGCTTCATGTCTCGCACCTCTCGCCTGTGGAACTCCCTTCCCTTCTCCTGTTTCCCTGTGAGCTATAATCTCCAGCTATTCAAGTGTAATGTCAATCGACATCTCCGGTTGCCGTAATCTATCCACTACCCTCATCCTTCCTTCTATCACTCCTATCTGATCTTGCTATGTCCTGTAATCCCTTGCATCCTAGTGGCTTCCCGCCTTGCTTGGGGTGAAACGCTTAAAAAAAATAATAATGTTTTTTTTTTCTCATATTCTCTCACACAGTATCCCCTTACAGCTTACTAGCCTTATTTTCTTTCTTCGGTTGGAATGATGAAAAAAATCTGTAATTTCAGCTGCTTTTTATGGCAGTAAAAAGAAGGAATGTATATCTAACGAGATTTGAATGTCTATTGGCTGTTCGGCAGCTGTCACATTAAGATATGCTACTCAATGAAAGAAAAAAAAAGACGAGATTTGGAAAGCGTATATCCTTTATTATCGATTCGTGTCGATCAGAGACGGTTATAAAATGACCTGAGAGCTGCGCTCAAAAGTACTTGAAATTAAGACGAAATAAATGCTAGTAGAAAAACTAATAAAAATGGGATCCTTTTGTAGTAAAGGCTGTTTTATATTTTCACACTGGGACAGTTGATTGTGTTCAAACTCGACCCAATGCAATGTATTGTTTCATGCAAAATAATTCGTGTGTCACTCTTTCTCTGCAAAGGACTACAAGTTGCCTACATCTATGTTGGACAAGTCGCAAAGTCCGGAACCAATTATGTTTCTTTTTCACAGTTCTTTAATTGTAGTATGTCATATTATTTTAGAGGGCAGCCCTGAGTTATCCAGTTCAGTGCAACTTTTGCTGGCCGACTATTAGGTATTCGCAGGATATGGCCAGTGAATTGAATGCGCCAATCTGTCACCATGAAAAAGAGTAAATGGGGGCTGAAAAAGAAGAATGGAGGGCTGAAAAAGTGGAAAATGCGTACTGAAAAAATGGAAATATAGGCTGAAAAAGAGGAAACATAGACTAAAAAAAGGAAATGAAGGCTGAAAAAATGAAAAGATGGGCTGAAAAAGAGGGAAAGGAGGCTAAAAAGGAAATGCAGGCTGAAAAAATTGAAAGATAGGCTGAAAAAGAGGGAACGGAGGACAAAAACGGAAATGCAAGCTGAAAAAAGGGATATCCAGGCTGAAAAAAAAGAAAAGATAGGCTGAAAAAGTGGGAACGGAGGATAAAAAAAGAGAAATGCAGGCTGAGAAAATGGAAAGATATGCTGAAAAAGAGGGAACGGAGGCTAAAAAAAAAAAAAGAAGGAAATCCAGGCTGAAAAAATGAAAAGATAGGCTGAAAAAGAGGCAACGAAAGCTAAAAAAAGAATGAAATGCAGGCTGAAAAAATGGAAAGATAGGCTGAAATAGAAGGAACCGAAGTTGAAAAAAGAGGAAAATGTTGCCATAATTTCATTTCATTTATCCGTGACATAATTGTACTGGGTGTGGTTCGAAAAAGCTGACGGAGATAACTCCTCCCATTTTCGGAATGATTGATGGACGATGAGCGTTTGTCACTATGGCAACTGGTCGAGGCAATTCTGGGCGGACCTTTTCTTGTGACAAATAAGAAATTTCTTCACTTATATTGTTTATATTGGCACGGCATCATTATAGACAGATAAACATCTGGTGAGATACGGAGGTCTTTATATATTTTTACTCAACGATGCATACATTGAGACGAGTAAATAAAAATGTGCGTAATATAGAAACGTTTATCTATCAGAGTACGTTCAGATCTATCTATCTATCTATCTATCTATCTATCTATCTATCTATCTATCTATCCGAGTACGTTCAGATCTATCTATCTATCTATCTATCTATCTATCTATCTATCTATCTATCCGACTATGTTCAGATTCATATCTATCTATCTATCTATCTATCTATCTATCTATCTATCTATCTATCCGACTATATTCAGATCTATCTATCTATCTATCTATCTATCTATCTATCTATCTATATACAATTTTCATATCTATCTCAGATCATACATATCTAACTCAATTCATATCCATCGATCTATCTCTCTATACGAGTATGTTCAGATCTAACTAGCTAACTATATATATATATATATATATATATATATATATACAATTTTGAAATCTATCTATCTATCGCAGATAATACATATCTAACTCAATTCATATCTATCTATCTATCTATCTATCTATCTATCTATCTATCTATCTATCTATGCGACAGTTGACGATTATGGGACATGCGACGAAGAAAGGAGTCAAATGGGAAACACCGACTAACCTATCTAATGTGTCTATGCAAATAAATAGTAGAGCATGGACTTAGGAGTAAAATAATTCTTAATGTTATAGAGAAGAAGAAGTTGAGGAGAGCTATGAACGTACACTCGTTCACCTCTTGAAATACATAGTTAATAAAAGATAATCTCTCTAAAGTTTTTTGTATGACAGGCAATCACAAGAGCGTGTTGAATGGATGGTCGCGGAGGAAGTGTGCCATTGAGAGGAATAGGCCATAGTCATCCGGAGCAGCATCGGGACTGAATGGTGGATGTGGAAGAATCTTCTTAGTCAACTTGGCAGTGTATGGCCTCGCATTGTCTTGCTGAAACAAAGTCCAACCTCGATTGACCAAAGCAGGATGTCGGATTTAGCTCCTCCTTAATTCCCTAATTGTTCACTAGGGGTCGCTTTCCCTAGACTGTAAATACTGGGTGACTTCTTGCCTCGTTCTCGTTTTACTTTGCATTTCATCGTACACATTTAAAAATGTGATATCTCACAGAAATCCACGTTTTCGCCCACTTATGGGAAAACATCATGAAACACACATACACGTACGTACGAACATTCACCAAAATACGAACTCTTTACGTTCACACACAAACACAAATGTTGATGTCTTTGTCACTTCTAAATTTTTTGTTTAAAACATATATTTGTTGACATATATATATCGGTCTTGTTTTTTTTTCTTTACATCTTCGGTTGGACTCAACTTGAGTCCGCCATTTTCTTGTAGTTGAACCTTCTAGCAGGAAATAAACGCATGTGTTCCTAATTTAACAACACGTAATTCACACGGTCACCTACAAGGATACCCTTTCTTTAGTTTGTCATACACGCGGTCTACATGTTGGCAATACAGTTTGGCTTTGAGAGCGCGACCATGTGGAACAAGCTCGAAATGCAGTACTCCTTAGAAATTCTACCAAATAGATATCAAGTTTTGTTAATTCTTTCTGATTACTAAGTGAATCCGGATTTTTTTGGTCAACCTAGTATTTTTCACCAGAAGTTTTTATTCACGTAAAAATGTTGCTTAACATTTTTAGAATATTTTCAAAATGACGAAAAAAAAACATATTTAAATATTTGTCCTATCCAAAATATTTGTGTAAAAAGAGTAAATATTTTCATATGTCTTATGTATTAATTATCTTCCTGTTTTGATTTATTTAATATCTATATTTTAATCGTTTTCATTTTCTATTTATATATTATTTTCATTGCTCGAAAAATGACAATCAATTTCGTGGCTTTAACTGATTTCATCCTTAAATAATCTCTTAAACAAACCAACAGACTTTCTTGTTAATCGCTCATTATTGTAAATATGCTGCAATCAAATTAACGAGAGTCTATTAAAGAAAAAATAGGAACATTGGATTTTTCAGTGAAGTGTTTATTAGATTTAATGCTTTCTCTGAAGTCCGTTTTCGGACAATAGATATTCACTGTCACGAACCTGAACGTTTCTTTCATGAACCTTTTGATTGTTTTTTTCTTTCCCATTCTGTTTCTTTCTTGCTTACTTTCTATTTTATCTATCTATCATTATCTATCTATCTATCTATCTATCTATCTATCTATTCTATCTATCTATCTATCTATCTATCTATCTATCTATCTATCTATCTATCTCAGTCTATTCATATCTATCTACTCATTTTTTTTCTTTCTTTCTTTTTCTTTTTCTATTTTTCTTATTCTGCTTCTTTCTTGCTTGCTTTCTTTTATCTATCTATCTATCTATCTATTTCAGTCTATTCATAGTCTATTCTCTCTCTCTCTAATTTTCTTTGTCTTTTTTTCTTTTCTTTCTTTCTTCTTTTTTTCTTTTATCTATCTAATTTCTTCTTTCTTTCTTTCTATTTTTATCTATCTATCTTTATCTATCTATCTATCTATCATCTATCTATCTATCTATCTAATTCTGTTCATTTTATCTATCTATCTATCTATCTATCTATCTATCTATCTATCTATTTCAGTCTATTCATATCTCTCTCTCTCTAATTTTCTTTGTCTTTTTTTTTTCTTTCTTTATTTCTTTTTTTTTTTCTATCTAATTCTTTGTTTTTTTCTTTTTCTTTCTTTCTTTTTTTTCTTTCTATCTATCTATCTATCTATTCTATCTATCTATCTATCTATCTATCTATCAATCTAATTCTGTTCTTTATCTATCTATCTATCTATCTATCTATTTCAGTCTATTCATATCTCTCTCTCTCTAATTTTCTTTGTCTTTTTTCTTTTTCTTTCTTTCTTCTTTTTTCTTTTATCTATCTAATTCTGCTTCTTTCTTTCTTTTTATCTATCTATCTATCTATCTATCTATCTATCTATCTATCTATCTATCTATCTATCTAATTCTGTTCTTTATCTATCTATCTATCTATCTATCTATCTATCTATCTATCTATCTATCTATTTCAGTCTATTCATATCTCTCTCTCTCTCTAATTTTCTTTGTCTTTTTTCTTTTTCTTTCTTTCTTCTTTTTTCTTTTATCTATCTAATTCTGCTTCTTTCTTTCTTTTTATCTATCTATCTATCTATCTATCTATCTATCTATCTATCTATCTTATTATACTTCTTTCATGCTATCTATACCGAGAGAGAGAGAGAGAGAGATAGAGAGAGAGAGAGAGTGAGATAGAGAGAGGTAGAGAGAGAGAGAGATAGAGAGAGAGAGAGAGAGATTACGAAGGTACGGCAGCTCAGAAAACTCACCCCATTCTGATAAGAAAAGAACACACAAATTTGTTGGTGAGGGTCTCAGACTCAAAATGGAGGCCTAGATCAAGTACCTTGAGGAGGTAGTGCTGCCCTGGGTCAAAGGTGTGGCTGCTGGAAGACCCTTTGTTTGGTAACAGGACTCTGGACAATGCTACATTAGTAGGAGAACCCAGTCACGGCCGTCAGGCTATTTCTGCGACCATATCACCCCTTACATCTAGCCACCTAACTCCCAAGACTGCAAACCCCTTCGTTATTATGTATGGGGCGCAGTTGAGCGAGAGACCAACAAAACTCCTTGTAACACCAAAGATGAACTGAAGGCAAGGATTATTCACCAACTTAAACAAGGGCAACGTCCAAAAGAGTTGCAGGAAATTCCGAAGACATCTGGACGCCGTAGATGAAGCCAATGGCGATTCTATTGAATAATTTTGTTCTTTCGTATTTCAAGATGTTTTTGTGTAATTTTGGTAAGTATATCTTTTGAAATGAGAGTATGTGTAAAAGAAAAGTCGTTATACTGACAAACAGCATTTTCGCTAATACATCAACAAAATGTTTAGACAAAATGTAGATAAATAATTGAAGAAGGAATCATTTCAAATAAATAAGAAAAGAAATTTAAAGCTTAAATATCTATTCTTGTACATTTTTTGCATTTCGTTGCACAGAGCGTCAGACATTCCTTCTTTCTCCTGCCAATTTTCAAAATGGAAGTGTAGACAGATTTCTAATCGCATATTTCAAACAAGTGGAAAAATGACATTGAACAGATGCGGAGTCGTTTTTACTTTTGCTTTTCGTGTACAAGTCGACAATTCGCAATAAGGGATGGTCACGTGAAACTTGAAAGTCGTTAGGCAAATGAAATGATACTCAAGACGACAAACAAAATTCGCCATAAAGAAAAATAAACTTAAAGTTTTTTTTGTTCCACAACATTTAATGCGTTCTTGTCGTTGCAAAAAGACATTCATTTTAATTTTCGTGTCGTTGTGACATTACGAAAAATCTTAAGCGAGAAGACAAACCAGGTTTTAAATAGAAACAAATGATTTTTTTTAATGAAAATACTAGGAAAGCTTTTAAAAACAAATATAGAAAAAAGAAAGAACCGTTTAAAATAATGAGAAAGGCAATGTGTTTATTTAGATTTTTGAGCTGAGCTGATGTTTTTGTCGTTTGGCAATTGGCCTTCTATAACATTTTGATTTCGATTCTAACAAAAGGCCTGAAAAAGTTCTCTTTATAATAATTTACTTTACTGAAGGAAATAACAGAAGAAAAGGAAAACAAAAATTTTAAAGTAAGTCACTTTCTTCTTCGATACAGTTGGCGATCATGACTCTCCACAATTTCCTGTCCTTTGTAGCTCTTAATGTATTTGATCTTTTTGTTATCTCTCCTAAAATTTGTTCCGTCATCTATTTACTCAAGCTCGCTCGGTAGGTTTATGCGTTCTTTCCCTCTGTTCATCTTACCTTCAATCTGTCCTATGAGTATCAAAATTTCCAAGCCCTATTTCCACATTATGGACCCTAGGAATTTCAGCTCTTTTCCTAATGTTAAGTACAAGTGTTCTTTAAGTTTCCTTGTCTTTAAAACTTCGCATTCATATATATATATATATATATATATATATATATATATATATATATATATTTAAAAAGAAGAGGGGTGCCGCAAACGTTTTTGGTTGTAATGTGGATTTATTGAGAAAAAATATTATACTTTGTTTTACATAATTTCGACACGTGTTTCTGGTCTGGTCTCTCGCAACCGTCTTCAGGTGAAAGTGGAGATTTTTACATATTATTAAAAATAATTAATTTTTTCTTCATGTTCAATGTGGAATATTCTCGATATGAGACATTCTGTTTGTGTGTTGGCAATCCGAATTTTCTTTCTAGAATTCTTTTTATATATATATATATATATATATATATATATATATATATATATATATATATATATGTACTTACGGTTCTTTTTGAGAGAGAGAGGGGGGCGAAAAGAAAGGGGTGAAAATAGCAATCTGCCTAATGATCTTTTGTAAATGGGCGAAAGAAATTGAAGGTTGGATGTTAACGAAAAGACATATATTTAGCAACAGAGGAGAGGAAGTTGGGGAAATTCATGATCACCCTAGTATTTCAGGAACACGAAACATAGAAGAAGAAGAAGAAGAAGAAGAAGAAGAAGGAGGGCAGTGCAGAAAAAATCCAAATAAGGTGAAATGGAAATTCCTCAGGTTTGCTTTGCAGATCTTCCATCTGAGGTTGGCATTGTTGCCTTTGAAAATCACCATTCAAAATTCTAGACTTCTTGTTTTTTTTTCTCCGTCATTTTCTTGTTTTTATTTCTTTTTAATTATCTTCCGCTTTGAATTCATATCCGGTTTCTTCTTCTTCTTCTTCTTCTTCTTCTTCTTCTTCTTCTTCTTCTTCTTCGCCGCATTTCTTCTTCTTCTTCTTCTTCGCCGCATTTCTTCTTCTTCTTCTTCTTCTTCTTCTTCTTCTTCTTCGCTTTGTTTTCTTCTTCTTCTTCTTTCTTCTTCTTCTTCTTCTTCGCATTTCTTCTTCTTCGCATTTCTTCTTCTTCTTCGCATTTCTTCTTCTTCTTCGCATTTCTTCTTCTTCTTCTTCTTCGCATTTCTTCTTCTTCGCATTTCTTCTTCTTCTTCGCATTTCTTCTTCTTCGCATTTCTTCTTCTTCTTTTCTTCTTCTTCTTCTTCTTCTTCTTCTTCTTTTCTTCTTCTTCTTCTTCTTCTTCTTCTTCTTCTTCATTTCTTCTTCTTCGCATTTCTTCTTCTTCTTCTTCTTCTTCTTCTTCTTCTTCTCCTCCTCCTCCTCCTTCTTCTTCTTCTTCTTCTTCTTCTTCCTCCTTCTTCTTCTTCTTCTTCTTCTTCTTCTTCTTCTTCTTCTTCATCATTCGCTTTCTTCTAATTCTTCCTCTAAATTCTTCTTCTTCGACTAGTTCTTTTTGTTCTTTTTCTTCATGTCCTTCAGCGTCTTCTTTGCCTTCGTTCGCTTTCTTTTCTTCTTCTTCTTCTTGTCCCTTTTCTTTTTTTATGAGAGTCTTCGTTTCCTTCATTTATCTTCTTCTTTTTGTCATTTTCTTCTTTATCATCAGCGTCTTCACTTCTTTCATTCGCTTACTTCTTCGCCTTCTTCTTTTTCATCAGCGTCTTCTTTGCCTTTATTCGTTTTCTTCGTTTCTTTCTTTCTTTGTTTTTCTTTCTTTCTTTCTTTCTTGCTTTCTTCTTCAAGATTTTTTCGCTTCATCTCCTTCTGTAATCTTTGACTCACTGGTTGCTTTTGTGAGTCCTATCTGTCACATTATTTGATGATTCGCCGAAAAAACAGTCGTCTCTTTACTTATCTCACTACATAGAAACATTTGAAACATCTTTTCGGCAATTATAGCTATATTTTGTTTACACTGGGCCTCAAATCGCCAATGAATAGAGCAGATTGTCTTTGAAGTCCCGGCAGCCAGCTGTTAACACCAAAAGTGGTTTCTCGTATGGAATGTGAAAATGATAGCTGCGCATGCGTCGAGATACGAGCATATAGAATTATTACAAGGACCTGCATCCGTCTGTTTTCGGTTCATGAAACTGATGCACCTTGCGTCGCTTTTTTTTCCACTTCTTTTTTATCTCAATTACACACACACACACACACACACACACACACACACACACAAGCTTCCTCCTTTTAATACTCTCTTATATATATGTGTGTGTGTGTGTGTATATATATATATATATATCAAAGTATATAATTGGTATACACGGAATGAATTCCAATAACCAACAATTACTATTCTTAAAGAGTGCTCAATACAAAGTAGAGCAGATATAATTATTTTATAAAAAATTTATAACATAAGTATGTTATAAAATCACTACAAAAATAGCCATTTGTTTCAACACACTCTGTGTCTTATCAAGTGATGGTGTTGAAAAGAAAATAAATCTTTATTTATTAATTTATTTTCTTTTCAACAAATAAATCTTTATTTTATTAATTTATTTTCTTTTCAACACCATCACTTGATAAGACACAGAGTGTGTTGAAACAAAATGGCTATTTTTATAAAATTTTATATATATGTTATAAATTTTTATATAAAATATATATATATATATATATATATATATATATATATATATATATATATATATATATATATATATATATATATATATATATATATATATATATATATATATTATAAATGGACAAAGTCTGACAATTATTTAAAGACATTTTTATGTTTAACATTCTTTTTATAGATACAAGTATTTTAGTAAATGCTCTGTTTATAATAAACAGTATTAAATAACATTTACCGGCCTGAATGTCCAAGAAATTTTCATAGAAAATATTCGTCCTTTGACAGGATTCGAACCTGCATCC